TTATTATTATTATTATTCATGTCTGTGCTTGGGACATTGCTCTGTGCAATTGGGCTGCCACAAGCACCTACAAATACAGTCACTACACTTCCCAGTAAATCCTGTAAAGTGCTTTATAATGCAAGCACCATCCATCCATCCACATTTTATCTTATTTCTCTTATTTTATAAATATCCTCTACTTATATATCTTATCTTTGAATCCATCTGTCTAAAGATCTTTAATCACATATATCAACCAACCAATCTAAACCTAGTCATTGTTGATCTATCTCTAACCTATCTATCCATTTATAGTGTATCTATCTCTGGTCTAGCAATCTATCTCTAGTCCAGCTATACTTAGGTTTCTCAGTTATTTGTTTAACTTTGAAGCCAGAAACCAGATTAGTTTATTCAGATTACATTTTATTTATTTATGAATGTAACCATTATTCTTTTATGTCTTTTAGTTTGTTTGTGGAGTCATTCCATGTGGCTTAAAGTATCAGCATAGACTCAATGGACAAAAGACCTGTTTCAGTGCAGTATTATTGGATGATTCTATGATTTCTTTAAGAGACAAATAAGTTTGATTAATACTTTAAAACTGGATTAAAAAAACTGTTACAGACAATTTAATTCTGTTTTCTTCACTGACTGTAATGCATCTGTTAATATGTGGTTAGGGTGGTATTTGCTATTACAATTATACATTGGAAGATTCACTATGCCTATACCTCTTCTATATTTAGTGATCCGGAGAAATGTTTCACTCATATCAAAGGTGATTGGTGTGAGCTGAACGTGTAACAAAACAGAGAACAGACATTACAATATCACAAGAGTGATTCAGATGAAGAAGGCCCTTTAGCCCATTCTTCCAAAATACCTACACACCCTTCCCATCACAGATCCGATTTTTTTTTAAAAAAAAACATAAGTTTAGGTTGATCTGTGACAGAATCCTGGCAATCAGTTCCAGTTGTTTTTCACCCTGGGTAAAAAAAAAATCCTGGTCTCATCCTGAAATTGCTCTTTGTAACTCTGAACCTATGTCCTCTTTTGCTACTGTCTTGGAGCATCCTAAAGTGTTGATCTGGGTTTACTTTTTTAATCCCATTCAAAATGTTACTCACCTCTATAAGGTCCTTTCTGTAACTCTTGTATGTTGCGTTGACCAGAACTGTACGCAGTAGTCTAGCCGTGGCATAACTACAGCACTAAATAGCTTGAGCTTGACGTTGGGAAATCTAGATTTCCCAATTGATCTCATCCTTCCAGAATGTTTCCAGATGTCCTGAAATTGTCATTTGCAGCCCTAAACCTATGTCCTCTTATTCTGCTGTCTTAGTTCACCTAACATAATTGGATTTGGTTTACTTTCTCAATTCCATTTGACTCAGAAGGTCTGTTCTAATACGTCTCCTTTGTATCCTGAGAGTTGGAGCTTGTCTAATTGTTGCTCATAGCTCATTCCTCTAATACTAAGGATCATCCTCATTGTTCTCCACTGCACTGTCTCTAGGACATCCTGTTTGCTCTGCTTATTGCTGCCTCACACTGTTTTGAGCAAATGGTGAGTGACAGGTCACCTTAAACCCCAAGATCTCTTTCAAATTCCCCCTTCAGTAATTCTATCCCTTCCAATGAAATACATGTGTTTCCTATTTGTACTTCCTATGTGCAGTGCCTTACACATATCTGTATTGAACTTCATTTGCCAGTCATCAGCAAACTCGAAAATGATTAAAAGATACACATCTCAGCATTTCACACTTTTGGAAACGAAAATGCAACAACATATAGCTCCTTTCACAGAAGAGAATGTCTTGAAGAACTTTATATGGACAGTAACAACAACAAGATTACATTTGTATAGCGCCTTTCATGTCAGGAGGATGTCCCAAGGGGTTGGACAGTGTACAGCATTTCAGACCCGAGCTGGGATTCGGGGAGTAAGGGAGGGAGGGGAAGGGGGGTGACTGATGGCATGGTCGAAGAGGAGGGTCTTGAGGCGGGACTTGAAGGAGGCTAAGGAGGGGGTGAGGCAGAGTGACTGGGGATGGAGTTCCAGAGGTTGGAGGCAGAGTAGCTGAAGGCTCTCCTGCCAATGGTGGGGCGGGTGGGTCGGGGGACATGGAGCAGGCCAGAGCCGGCTGAGCGGAGGGAACAGGTGTGTTGGTAGGGGGTTAGGAGGTCGCAGAGGTAGGGTGGGATGAGGTCATGGAGGGTTTTGTATGTGAGGACCAGGATCTTGAACTGGATCCTCTGAAGGATAGGGACCCAGTGGAGTCGGGCGAGAGTGGGGGAGATGGGGTCACAGAGTTTGGTGCGGGAGAGGACACATACATACATTCAATGTATCAAACATAGAACAAAGTGGGAAGGAGGGAGGTGTAGGAAGTAGGTAGAACCAAGAAGCATAAAGATTTACAGAACAGAAGAAGGTAATTTGGCCCATCGTGTCTGTGCAGGCTCCCTCATGAACAATCCTTTCAGCCCCATCAACTGCCCTATCCCCATAGCTCTGTAGCTAAATCTTTTTAAGGCATTTGTTTGGTTCCCTCTTAAAGACCAATGTGGATTCTGGTTTAACTTCAGGTGACTAAAAGCAGACATAACAAGGTAGGTTTCGAAACAGATATTTTTGGAAGCCAATGAGAGGAGGGATTTGGGAGGGATTTCCAGAGAATGGGGGTCTAGTTTATGAAAGCTTTGCACCACTCCGCTATGATCAAAGAATTCTACTGAATTTCTTAACGTGAGATTTATTCCTTCAGTGAGAAAGTCATTACTGAAAATGAAATGTTCAATTCACTCACCATACATTGGGCAAGGCGAAAGTTTACAGTAATCCCAAGAGGTACGATTATTCTGCCGAATATAACACCAGGGCTTTATATCATTGTCTGGGTTTCTGCAAGAATGAAAAGACAATTGCTTATTAGGGAATTCCCTCAAACGTAGTCCCCTATCCCACAGAACTTTACAGTTACCCATGTCAGCCAGCGTTCAGAGGTGCCATTACCAGTGGAGTCCTATAGCTCAGTGGTTAGAGCATTTGCTTTGCAAGCGAGAGACCTGAGTTCAATTCCAGGCAGAGGGCGAAACCTTGGGCAAGTTTCCTTACTCCACACACCTAATAATAATCCCTCCAAAACCCAAAACAATAATAAATCGGTCATTTTCAATCTACTGTTTGTGGGACATTGCTGTGCGTAATTGGCTGCCGCGTTCGCCCACAAATATACAGTCAATTCACTTTACAGTGTGTTCTGTAAAGCGCTTTGGGACGTCCTCCCAACGTGAAAAGCGCTATATCAAATGCAAGGATTATTATTAATTATTATTATTATCACCACCATCACCACAACAACAAAATGACATTTGTATAGCGCCTTTCATGTCAGGAGGATGTCCCAAGACACTGGACAGTCAGTGTTTCGGACCTGAGCTGGGGGTCAGGATTGTGGAGGGTAGTGGGAGAAGCAGGGTGATCGAAAGCACGGTCCAAGAGGAGCGTCTTGAAATGGGTCTTGAAGGAGGCAAGGGACGGGGTGAGGCGGAGGGACTGCAAGATGGTGGGTGCAGAGTGGCTGAAGGCCCACCCGCCAATATTGGGGCAGGCGAGGCGGGGGACGTGAAGCAGGCCATAGCCCAGGATAGTAGGAACTTAGGAGGTCGCAGAGGTAGGGAGGAGCAAGACCACGGAGGGTTTTGAAAGTGAGGACTAGGATCTTGAACTATATCCTCTGTGTGATGGGAAGCCAGTGGAGTCAGGCGAGGATGGGGGTGATAGGGTCACGGTGCCTGGTGCGGGAGAGAACACAGACTGCAGAGTTCTGGACGATCTGCAGCCTATGGAGGGAGGAGTTGGGGAGGCCGACAAGCAGGGAGTTTGCATAGTTAAACCTGGATGTTATGAATGCATGTATGAGGGTTCTGGCAGCTTGCGGTGTGAGACAGTGGCGGAGCTGGGCAATGTTGCGGAGGTGCGGGAAGGCGGAGCGGGTCATGGCGCATATGTGGTGTAGAAAGGATAATTAAGGGTCAAACAAGATGCCAAGGTTTCGGACTGGCTTAGTGAGGTGGAATGTGCAACCATGGATGGTGACGCTGTCAGCGCCTGAGGTGTGGAGGCGCTGACGGGAGCCAATCAGGAGAGCCTCAATCGTGTTGATGTTCATCTGAAGAAAGTTAAGAATATTTGGTGATAACATATCTGGCTATATAGCAATCCTTGAATTTTGATATAGCCTTTCATCAAGATCTCGAAGTGCTCTCCGCAATAAAATGAAAAGTGGTGAGACTATATACATTTTGTGGTGAACCAGCAGCCAAATTGCACACAACAATGAACCTCAAACAACCATGAAATGAGTGACCAATTTTATTTGGGGTATTGTTGGCCAGGACACCCAGAGAAATTCCCTATAAATATTTCAGGTCTGTAGACCTGAAACGTTAACTCATTTTCCACTCTCCATAGATGCTGCCTGACCTGCTGCATGTTCCCAGCAACTTCTGTTTTCATTTCAGATTTCCAGCAGCTATAGTATTTTGCTTTTTGTAGATAGCTATTTGTTAGGTCGGGGTATTAATGGATACAGGGCAAGGGTGGGTAACTGGACTTGAGGTACAGATCAGCTATGATCTTCTAAAATGGTGGAACAGGCTCAAGGGGCTGAATCGCCTGCTCCTGTTTCTATGTTTCTATGTCTCAAAGACATGATAAGGAGCTATATCAAATGCAAGGATTATTGTGTTTCGAAGCATGAGGGCAGAAAACTATTTTGAAAAACATTGAATTACTCTGAATGCCACTTAATAAACTCACAGATGACCACTATGTATATTTATATTTGCTTCCCACCTGCAGAAAGAATGACCCCCAAGCCCGAGTTTCTCCGCTTCCTCCACGTCGGTGATATTGTGCATGTGGCTCAAAAATTCAAATGTTAAAGACAGGCAGTCATGGCCTAATTCTGTTTTTGATAGAATCCCTCTGTATAATGTACCTTGCTTTTCATAACACTGATCAATTACATCTGCAAAATAAATAGTAAATATTGGGTACCAGAACACTAAGCACACTAAGATGTGCTTACAACATAGCAGATTTGTGTCTACGGGGCCAGGCATTGTTGGAGGCAGAGCTTTGAGGTAAATCATTAGCAGTGGACATACAGTGTGCAACGTGCAGACCAGACCAATCCTTACTTATTGATAGGTCAGAGTATGAACTGTATACACACACCAATCCATTAACATCCCCAACTCAACCCACCCACGACCCACATCCCAACCAGCCCACCCACTGCACACTCCCATTCACCTCACCTGCCAAGCACTAATGACACACTCCACACACACACGTGCACCTTTTAAATCACCCCACCACACACGCTCGCACCCCCTAACTCACACAACCCACAGGTGCACATATCCCCAACCTTCCCCATCAGCGTGCCCCAAAATACGAGCAAAGCATCTTGCTTGAATGTAAAGGTGCATTGTTTGTTGTAGCCATACCTAATTCACAATATTTTCCAATAAAACCTTTCTGGCAATCACACGCAAAGTACTTTCTCATGAGTACCGAGTGGCACTTTCCTCGATGAAAACACATTTTTGGGTTGCAAGCTGGAAGAGACACATACAATGGAAATACACAATTAATGAACAATAATATGAGGCTTACTTCTAGCCAGTATTGACATTTACTGCAATTTTAAACCTGATCAATTTTATGAATTTTAAATATTTAATGCCATTAAATATCACTAATAATATCATACTTTTATTTGAGATAACACAGATTTACATATATTGTACAATACAGAAACAGGCCGTTTGGCCCAATCAATCCACATTGGTGTTTATACTCCACATATGTCTCCATCCATTCTCCTCCCATACCCTTCTTTTCCCTTCTCCCTTATTTTATTTTGTTCCGTCGGGTGTCTAACACGTGCGGAATACCCATGACTATCCTTTAGGTGTATATATATCTTCCTCTTACATAACAACAATAATAAAATTACATTTGTAAAGCACCTTTCACGTTGGGAGGACGTCCCAAGGTGCTGAACAGTCAGGGATCAAGATCCGAGTGTGGGGGCAGGGTTGGGATGAGGGAGGGCAGTGGGGGTAGGAGGGTGACTGAAGGCACAGTCAAAAAGGAGGGTCGTAAGTTGTGCCTTGAAGGAGGCAAGGGAGGGAACAAGGGATTGTAGGGTGGCGCTGCAAAGAGTGGGGACAGAGAGACTGAAAAGCCCGGCCGCTGATGGTAGGGTGGGTCAGGTGGGAGACATGGAGCAGGCCGGAGCTTGCTGAGCGTAGGGAGTGGACAGGTTGATAGTGGGTCAGCAGGTCAGAGATGTAGGAGGGGTCAAGGCCGTGGAGGGTCTTGAAAGTGAGGACGAGGATTTTTAATTCTGTCCTCTGAGGGATGGGGAGCCAGTGGAGCCGGGCGAGGGTGGGGGTGATGGGGTCATGGAGGCTGGTGCAGGAGAGGACACGAGCTGCAGAGTCCTGGATAATCTGCAGCTTGTGAAGGGAGAGTTGGGGAGGCCGACAAGGAGGGCATTTCCGTAGTCGAGCCTTGAGATAACAAATGAATGAGGGTTTCAGCAGCCTGAGGGGTCAAACCTTGGCTCTTGCCAACCTGCGCCTAATACTTTCTGGAATTAGGTAAACAGGATGTGTTCCTCCAGGGAGAGAGTGCGCATTTCATTCCAACAATCTATCTCTGGGATTTCCAAGTGTTTGTGGGATGCAGGGAAACTCAGCTTGGTTAATTTATTTTCATGACACTGCGGTGAAGTAAGGACTGACACAAATGTTTAATATCGTTTAGAAACTAAGCATTGGTGTAATTTGTTAGGTTATATTTAGTGAGTTGGAGATTGATTGTTGGTGTATACTGATGGGATGGAGTTAATTATACTGAGACATCGCAGTTATACCAGTCAGCAAATAATATGTCCTGTATAAGTGGACATATTATCAGATAGTGTCTGATCCCATTTCATGGCTAATAATCATAGGGACCTTCATTTACTTCATTAGCGCCATCCTCTGCTTTCTTATTTACTTGTTTATTGACAAGAAAAGATGTGTTGGAGAGGCAGAAGTCAAAGTGACAGAACTTGAACTTCAGAATGCCCTAACCGGAGAAGGAAGAAATTGGAATTTGGAGTCACGAACCATATTCGAGCTTCTAAAGAAAGAAGATCAAGACGACGATTTAAACAACACTAAATGTACAATAACACCTTGATATCTTTGGGTGATATCAAACTGGAAACCGTACAACAATAATTGGATACCTTTTGAGGACCATATTTGGATTCAAATGGGACATTAAATTGGACATTGCTCATGTGTCAGACACCCGCCTAACCAAAAAAAATCAATATTATAAAGGTAATATTTCTACAGGCAGCAGATTACCAGGGGGCTAAGTGTGCACAGCACTGTAATATTTGTAGAGTTACCTTCAGATATTAAGGTTTGATAAACAATCCCGGTATTAGTGCAGATGCTTCTTTGAGCCTTGCCATTATAAATCCGTGTCCACGTTTCTCCTATCCGGTAGTGTTTCAGGTGCTTTAGTTCAAAACACTTTTCTAAGAAGAAAAAGCAATTATTGAATAAATTGAAGCACAAAACGTGATGCAATGGTAATATGATCATAACATTTCTCATTTAATTTCTGAAGATTTCATTTTATCAAAGAATATGGCCTACTCCTGCTCCTAATTCTTCTTCTTATATCAATGGCTGTTTGTAGGAGACTGCTGTATACAAATTGGCTGCTATGTTTGCCTACAAATACCTTGGAACTGAAGTAAAGTCCTGCGAAGTACTGTGTGATGCCTCGACAGGATGATAAGGTACTATGCCAAAATGCAAGAAGTATCAATATTAAACAACAGCACAGAAAACTATGTTACAAACTGTATCCGCACAGGTAACAATGCTGTTTTAAATATTACACTGGAAATTAATTTGATTCAGTTGATCGATATTTGATTTGATGATTCATCGATATTTGAATAATAATAATCCTACAATTCTTGCCTTTGATGTAGCGCCTCATCACATCAAATAATCTCAAAGTGTTTCACAGGAATTACTATAAATTGTAGTGATTGCATGACTCCATGTTGTTTTCTTGTACAGCTGAGATTCGGAGACACTGCATCGATGTAGATTGTTCACCCAATAGGGGTGAATGCTGCGCACAGATTACAGCATAAGGGGTTAAATAAATAAAACTCGTGCATGTTGAGTCCTGTAACTCAGTGGTTAGAGCAAGCAAGTGCATCTGAGTTTGATTCCCAGCAGGGCGAAACGTTGGGCAAGTTTCCTTATTCCACAAGCCTCTGTTTATCTATCAGTAAGTAGGAACCCAGTCGTTAGTCAATTGGCGGATCGCTTTTCTGGGTATAATAATCCCTTTGAAAAAATGTGATCACTCAACCCATGACTGTTTGTGGGACACTACTGTGTACAATTGGCTGCCGCATTTCACCCACAAAATATACAATCAATTCACTTTACAGTATATTCTGTGAAGCGCTTTGAGACATCTCAATGATGTGATAAGGCGCTATACCAAATGCAAGGATTATTATTATTTACAGGTGAATGCAGCAACCGATTTTTACACAGCAATGTCCAACAAGGTCCTACCAATTTCATACAGCAATACAACACTCCTGACAATATAGAACCCACTCCCCCACCCCCACCAGTACTCTGGTGGAGTGCTGGGGGAGTTTCCGCAACATCGGAGGTGCTGTCCTTCAGATGAGATGTTAAACCAAAGTCTCGTCTGTCTGTTCAAGTGAACGTTAAAGATCCCAAGGCACTATTCAAAAAGAGAAGAGAGTTTCTCTCAGTGTCCAGGCCCAATATCATCCAAATAAAATTGATTACTCACTCACTCCACTCCGTGGAGTCCTGTAGCTCAGTGGTTAGAGCACTCACTTTGCAAGTGAGAGACCTGGGTTCAATTCCAGGCAGACAGGGCGAAACCTTGGGCAAGTTTCCTTACTCCACACAGAGCCTAATAATAATCCCTCCAAAACCCAAAACAATAATAAATTGGTCATTTTCAATCTACGACTGTTTGTGGGACATTGATGTGCGCAATTGGCTGCCGCGTTCGCCCACAAATATACAGTCAATTCACTTTACAGTGTGTTCTGTGAAGCGCTTTGGGACGTCCTCCCGACGTGAAAAGCGCTATATCAAATGCAAGGATTATTATTATTGCTGTTTGTGAGACATTGCTATGCTCAAATTGGTTGCTACATCCACCAACGAAATAGACACTGTTACATCACTTTACTGTAAATCCTAAGTTTAGAGATGTCTCGACAATGTAATAAGGTGCTATATCAAATGCAAGGATTATTATTATTACAAACAGCCAGGAGGTGATTGATCAATTTAACTGGAGGATTGTTGACCGGGACTTTGGGAAAAATTCTCCTCCCCTTTCCAATAATGTCATGGATTTTTTAACATTCATCTGAACAGGTGGGACCTCAATTTCATATTGCAGAGTTACTTATCAATTTGTGGAAGCACACCTCTAAGGTTGGATCTATTGAGTAAGAAAACTAAACAATATTGTTGATTGGAAACTAGCTGTTGAATCAAGTAAAGGAAAATATCCATTTACATCACATCCATTTGAATTTGCCGTTAAAAACGTTTAATTTTAAACAGGACATTTTTATAATAATAATCCGTGCATTTGATATAGCACCTTATCACATCATTCCGATATCTCAAAGTGCTTTACAAGATGTACTGTAAAGTGTCCAACAATTCTGTGTATTTTGTGGGTGAAACGTGGCAGCCAATTGCACACAGCAGTGTCCCACAAACAGTCGTGGATTGATATACCACCCAAAACTTTTGAGGGATTATTAATGGAAAATGATCCTCCAATCGACTAGCAACCGAGTTCCTGTTTACTGCTAGGTAAACAGGCGTGCGGAGTAAGGAAACTTGCCTAAGGTTTCGCTCTGCCCGGCAATTAAAACTAGGTCCTCTTGCTTGCGAGGTGAGCACGCCAACTACTACACTACAGGACTCCGTCATAAGATAATGACATGTAGGATTATTGGGATAGGCTTGAAAAATTACATCTGTTTCAATGGGCACAGAGGTGTTTCAGAGGAGATCAAATGGAGATCTTCAAAACTCTGAACCATTTCGAGAGCATTTCAGTTTGAAAAGAGAAACAAAATATAGTTCATAAAAAGAACTATAGAAAAACAGCTTCTAAAGTAGGACGGAATTTAAAAATCTTGCAAACTTTCACACAACTTGAGTATTTAAGAATACAGCCTTTAGGCTGAGACTGCAAGAAATTTCAGGCCTCGGATTCCAGGACACATTTCTCAGAAGAGGACTCGCTGAAACGAAAATTGTTAGGTGTTTTCATTGACTGTTTCTTTTTGTAGCATTCAGTATGGTATTTGACTGTTCCAGACAAAAACTAAACATCGTTGCTTTCTCAAGATGCATGTTTGTTACTTACCAGTCTCACAGTGTAGGCCTTCATACTTCTCTGAACAGATACATCTGTAGGTGTCCTGTCCAGGAAAATCAATACAGAATCCATTGTTTTCACAGATAACGTTTTCACAAAATTCTGAAAAAAAATTGCCAAATGAATACAGTCTCCTTTAAAAAGTTGAGGGTTTAAGCCCCTTGTTGGGACTTTGAATTCACATAGTATAAAGTATTTAAACTGTCCTTGTCTCTTACAATCCTAAATCGGATGACCCTCCAGTGTAGCTCTGGGGTGTGCTGTATTGTTGGATGTGCCATCCTTCAAATTGGACATTAAACCGAGGTCCTGTCTGTGCCTGTCCCATGACACTTCTCAAAAGGAGAAGAGAGTTTCTCCTGGTATCCTGGCAATCAATCCTCCAAATAAAGTTGGTCATTCATTTCATGCCTGCTTGTGGGACACTGCTGTGTGCAAATTGGCTGCCGTGTTCATCCAAAAAATTCACACAGTGGATATACACAAGTATATCCTGTAAAGCACTTTGAGATGTCTCAACCACATGATAAGGCACTAGTGTATATCAACTGCAAATGATACTCAATTACTATTGTGAAGATTGTCTCAATAACATATCCTGCTGCTGATGAAATCTTTAAACCACTCAAACAGGCAGACAGAACCTTTGTTTTCATATCCAAAGGGCTGCAGCCCCAACTATGCAGTGCTCCCTCAGCATTATAGTGTTAATCTAGACTGTATGAGTTCTGAAGTCCTAACATGGGGCTTGAACCCACACCTTTCTGAGGTGAGAGTGCCACCAACTGAGCCAGGCTGACGCACGACAGCCAATTTTGTAATTGTCTTAAATTCAAAGTGGAATTTCAAGCCCCAGGAAACAAATTACACATTCAGCCAAATATCAAATGCAAGGATTATTATTTTATTATTATAAATGTCTGACTGAAGATACTGGAACTGAAACGTTTTACCTGTTGATATCAGCACTGAGTCTTTGCAAAAGCCCCTCAAAAGATCAGCATCAAAGTCAGGTGTAGTGGCACACCTGAAATAGAGAGCAACAGATTGGGCTTCTCATGCTTCCAGAACCCCACCCTACCATCTCCCCAGTCACATCAAGCTACTTATTAAATGAATCCCAGTGCCCTCTCCTCTACAACTTTTCCTGGCAGCCTGTTTGAGTCATTGATTATGCTAAGCAAACCTTCCTGGTTTCTGTCCTGAGATTGCGCTTTACAACTCAAAACTGATGTTCTCTTGTTCTTCTCTCTTGTCGCATCTTAAATTGATCTGGGTTTATTTTCCCAATTCCATTTACAATTTTGTACATCTTTATGAGATCCCCACTGTCTGTTCTCAAGACCGAAGAGCCTTAGCTTGTCTCGCCATTGCTCATAGCTTATAGCTCATTCCTTTAACACCAAGGATCATCCTCATTGCTCTACTCTACAGGAGCAATTTCTCACCATTAGAAACTATCTGAGCCAGATACGCAGGTATGTATAAAAGTGAAATAAACTGTGCTAGCAATGGAGACAACACTGACAGCTAACTGGAAATGTATTTTTTGACTTTTGGATAGCCAAGAAAGCAGAGGAGAGAGATTTTTTTTAACACAATACCAGTGTAAAGAGTATTAGAAATTGAGCAAAAAGCATACAATTAATTGCTACACATCTCAGAGGGGGTATTTGTCCTCATTGAGATGTGGGAAGAGATATATTTCTAAGAGAAAATGTTTAATAACTTTTTAGGAAGCTATGCATATGCTTACCATGTTTCACCAATGTACTTGTCCATTATACACTTGTGGTGTAGCTTCCCATCATAACGGAAAGGAAACACACAGTGGTAGCCCTCTTTTGTCAAGACTGAATAAATAAGATACATATAATTTGTAATATTCAACTGCAGGGCAACATATCCCTTAATTGCAGAAAATGCTTAATCCACACATGCAATCTCTCCCAATGATTAGCATCTCTGCTTCACCAGTTAGATATCTCAAATTATACAGTAATAATAAATAATATTCACATTTAGTATAAAGTAATATCTAGGTTGCACTTTGTTGCCATACCCACTTGTTTGGGACCTCCTAAATTCTTTACCTTGTAGTAAGCAGACAAAGGTCTTGTTCATTCCATCATTCCATCATTCACCACGAGGTGAAACTGAGTTAGAAATTCCCACATCCTCCCGAGTCTAGATTCACTCCATTTTATGTAACATTTTAGAGAGTCCAAAATGCAGCAATTTGTTGAATTCAGCTTTAAAGTTGAAGTTGGTTTTCTGCATGGCTTGACTCAGTTGATAGCACTCTCGCCTATGAGTCAGATGGTTGTGCATTCAAGCCTTGAACTTGCAGTCTAAGGTGACACTTCGATGCAATGCTCAGGGTGTGTTGCATTATCAGAGGTGCTGTCCTTCGGATGAGACATTAAACTAAAGTCCCGTCAGCCAGATTGGGTGGATGTTAAAGATCCCAAGGCACTACTAGAAAAATGAATGGTAGTTTCTCCTGGTGTCCTGGCCATTAATCACTTAAAAGAAAAAATTGGTCATTTGTTTCTTGGCTGTTCGTCGAACATTGTTGTCAGCAATTGGGCTGTCTACAAATACACAGTCACTCCACTTCATAGTAAATCTGTGAAGCACTTTGAGATGTACTCTCCAACCTCCCTTTCCTTTCCAAGGTCTTGGAATGAGTCGTTGCTTCGCTCTTTCCTCTCCCGCCCCGCCCTGCACGAACCCCTCCAATCGGTTTTCCGTGACGCCCACAGCACAGAAACAGCCCTGGTCAAAGTGCCAAATGACATTCTGTCCATCTGCAACCAGGGCTCCCTCTGCCTTCTCGCCCTCCTTGACCTCTCTGCTGCCTCCAATACCATCGGTCACTCTATTCACCTCCACCGTCTCTCCTCTCACCTCAACCTTCAAGGCTCTATCCTTGACTGGTTCAGATCGTACCTCTCACACCGCCTCCACTTCATCTCCACAAATGGCTTCTCCTCTTGTCCTCGCACTGTCTCGTGTGGCGTTCCTCAGGGCTCTGTCCTTGGTCCCCTCCTCTTCAATATCTATATGCTCCCTCTCGGTGACATCATCCGCAGACATGGGGTCAACTTCCACAGGTATGCGGATGACACCCAACTCTACCTCTCTGCCTTCACCCTTGACTCCAGAACCACTGCTGTCCTGACAGAATGTCTGTCAGACATCAAGTCCCGGATGAGAGCTAATTTTCCTTAGTTGAACGACCGAAGCTCTCCTGATTGGCTCCCATCAGTACCTCCACACCTCAGGTACTGACAGCATCACCATCCATGGTTGCACACTCCACCTCACTAAGACAGTCTGGAACCTTTGCATCTTGTTTGACCCTCAATTATCCTTTCTACTCCACATCCATGCCATGACCCACTCTGCCTTCCCCCACCTCCGCAACGTCGCCCGGATCCACCACTGTCTCACACCGCAGGCCTCCGAAACCCTCATACACATTCATAACATCCTGGCTTGACTATGCAAACTCCCTGCTTGTTGGCCTCCCCAACTCCTCCCTCCATAGGCTGCAAATCATCCAGAACTCTGCAGCCCGTGTCCTCTCCAGCAACAGACTCCACGACCCTATCACCCCCATCCTCGCCCGACTCCACTGGCCTCCCATCACACAGAGCAAACAGTTCAAGATCCTGGTTCTCACCTTCAAAGCCCTCCATGGTCTTGCTCCCCCCTACCTCTGCGACCTCCTAAATGCCTAACAACCTGCCTTCTCTCCACTCAGCAGGCGCCGACCTGCTTCATGTGCTCCGCCTCGCTCGCCCCACTCTGCCACTCTGCCCCCAACCTCTGGAACTCCATCCTGCAGTCCCACCACCTCGCCCCCTCCCTTGCCTCCTTCAAGACCCGTCTGAAGACCCTGCTCTTCGATTGTATAAATGACATAATACGAAAAACACATGTAATATATGGAATAATCAAATATGTAAAACATTCTGATTAGCATTACTTACGTTGCCTTTGGCAATGTTGACCTTTAATGGGATTTCCCAAAGTGCTATGTGTAACATTGAGAGGAATTTTTGTCTGGTACAGTAGTATGCAATCTCCTACCTTTGATATTGTAAGTATTATCATATTCATTTGGATCTTCTATATTTTCCTGATATTTTGTTTGAAAGTACTTATCACTCGATGCTGGGTTTACCTTAATAAAAAGTACAAACAAAGGTTAAAATGCAATAAGGAATCCACTGTAACAGGTATTTTAACACGGGAACTCTGCTCTGGAATTAGTTTGTCTCAGAATGGGGTTCCCATGTGTTAACACGACGTGCTTCCTGGAAGGAGTTCCCATTTACCCAATTTATATTGTAAAGTACTGTAGCTCAGTGGTTAGAGCACTCGCTTCGCAAGCGAGAGTTTGATTCCCGGTAGAGGGAAATGTTGGCAAAGTTTCCTTACTCTACACGCCTCTGTTTACCTAGCAGTAAGTAGGAACCAGGTTGTTAATTGATTGGTGGATCACTTTCCCGGGGGTAATAATTCATTCAAAAAAATAATAGAATAATAAATTGGTCATTCAATCCACAACTGTTTGTGGGACAATGCTGTGCGCAATTGGCTGCCACGTTTCCCCCACAAAATATACAGTCAATTCACTTTACAGTATATTCTGTGAAGCGCTTTGAGACGTCTCACAGACGTTAATAAGCTGCTATATCAAAAGCAAGGATTATTATTATTATTCCTTGTGGAGTCCTGTAGCTCAGTGGTTAGAGCACTCGCTTTGCAAGTGCTCTAATAATCCCTCCAAAACCAAAAACAATAATAAATTGGTCATTTTCAATCTAAGACTGTTTGTGGGACATTGCTGTGCGCAATTGGCTGCCGCGTTCGCCCACAAATTTACAGTCAATTCACTTTACAGTGTGTTCTGTGAAGTGCTTTGGGACGTCCTTCCAACGTGAAAAGCGCTATATCAAATGCAAGGATTATTATTATTATTATTGCTAAAGAACCCTCTAAAGAAATTATGCAAATCAGACAGCACTGTTTCATACTTGTGATGTCAGGCATTTTATATGTTTAGAAATAATTATACTTCTTAAAAACTTGAATACATTCTTATAAATTGGTCTGACTAGGGATAAATCAAGTGTTATTTAACATTTCCAAACAAAGGCTTTGGCAATTATAATTGAAACACAAAATATTATCATTGCTGTATAGAAACTAAAGTCAGAGCTGGTATGTTACTTTGAAGCCAGTGATAGTGCTACTGTCAATTCAATGTTGATATTACTGTTGGTCCAGTGCTGATACAATATTACTCTCAGGCTGATGTTGCTGTCAGGAAGATGTTACTAAGACTTTGTCAATGAAGTGTTGCAGATTACCACTAGCTCATCGACGTTAATTGTTACCCTAGTAACAATTTGACTTTCACAAACACTGATCCATGAAAATCTTTGAATATTGAACGTACTGCAGCCCCTGTACCCGACTTATCCAATGCAAAAAAAATTTTTTACGAACAGGTTAGCAATAGCCAAAGTTTGCAAACACTGCCAAGTTACCCGTTGCAAGGCGGAGGTATTGAGGCAGAGACTTTTGGTTTACTTTTGTTTACCAGGAGTCTTTCCCCCGCTCTATCTTTAAATGCTGCATAAAAACCTAGTTCTTTGATTACACATACTATCACCTCTCCCCTCCTGCTTTACTCAATACCTGTCTCCATCTTGTGAAATGCTCTGAGACCCATTATCCTTGTGAGAAATACGGATATCACACTGAGAAAAGCAGCATATTAGGCCACTTTGTCTCCTGTTCTGGATCCCGCTTACCAGAGGGAAGGATCATTCCCTATCTAATTTGTGAATTCTCTTATTTATTTTAAGCACCTCAGAAAATCACCCCTTAATCTCATCAATACTAGGCAGTATAATCCAAGTTTACCATCATAACTAATTTCCACAACTAATTTCCAGATATGGTAGAAATGCCAGACACCGTATAAAAAGATAGGAAAAGATTTGTCGAAAAATACCAAAAATAATGTTACCTTGTTTGCAAAATAAAATGCAAGTAAAACTAGCTTGTGTGGATGCATGGTGTCCAAATTGCCTTAATCCAACTGCTTTGGGATTTTTTTAAACTTCAATTGCTTTTATAAGTTCTCATCTGAAGCTTTGCAGATTGCCATTGGCTCATCAATCCTGGCCGGTAGTTAATGTGAACAGGTTTACCCTCATTCAGTCTGACGTTTTTACCTATTGGTGTTGTTGAATATAACATTTGCCCGTTTCTTTCATCCAGTTGATAAGTGATGAAGCTACAGGAAAAAAAAGCAATTGTAAGTGAATCATTGTAAGTTTATTTGGATTTGTTCAATGTTTCATCTTCAAGAAGCAACAGTTATGATAGGGAAGAAATTACTTGAGCAACTCACAGTGGCTGGTTAACAATTCCCTAAGAAAGATTTGTTATCATTATCTTAGCCGTCGTAGTCCACTTCAAGACTGTTTCTGGGGCATTGCTGTGACAAATGGCTGCCAAGTTCACCTACAAAATACATAGTCACTACACTTTAGAGTAAGCACTCCCTTCTTTTCCCTGCCATCGGATCTTTAATGTTCACCTGGACAGACACATGGGATCTTGGTTTAAAGTATCATCCGAAGAACGTCACCTACAACAATGCACCACTATAGCATTGTATTGAAAGATCAACCAAGACTGTATGGGTTCCAAATCACCAATTATAGGTTTGAACCCATACCCTTCTGACTCAGAGGCAAGAGTGATTCCATCTGAGCGAAGCTGACTTCAGCTCTGCATTTCCAACTGTTGCCACAATGGAGAGATGTGTGTCTTGAGTTACAGACAGTGCTCTTATGCATTTCATCCTGAGTTGTGCTGCACTGAGTGTGAGGGAGTTCCTCATACCAACCATCCACCTAATAAGGATTTAAACTTGCGCTTGTTGCATGTCTTGGATGTCAAACAAAGGACTAATGACTAACCTTCTTGATGGGGTGTGGGGGGGTTGGTGGGCCCTCCTTAGGACTGAATTGGTTCCAAGGTTTTATGCTGGGCAATGGAATGTTCAAATTAATGTAAACTCTGGGATCCCCAAG